GAAGGACCAATAAGTCTCGGATTTATTTACTCTGGCAGGCTAGACGGGCCACACATCTCCATCTCTGAGCCTCATTTGCTCCTCTCTCCAGAGTCCTCCCCGTCAGACCCTTCAGCAAGCACACCCAGCTCCTACCCGACTCTCAGCGAAGTGTTTGGCAGGAAGAGGAAGAAGCGGACCAGCATCGAGACGAACATCCGCCTGACTCTGGAAAAGCGATTTCAAGATGTGAGCAGCATCCTTGGACGGGAGTGGGTAGGCCCGACTGCGTGGTGGGTACGCGTGAAGCTGGGCTCAGTGCAGGACCCCGAGCACCATTCCCCTGTCCCCCACCTGCCTGGGAAGAAGCCAAGTCACCCTTCTACTCAGGGAGCCCAGGAATGCTGACCTTCCAAAGTTCCAGAAAACTTCTCTGTCTCTGACATTTATTTGGGGCTCATGGTCCCTCTCACTGCAAGATTCAAGAATGGAACACTCTGTGTGTGTGTGTGTGTGTGTGTGTGTGTGTGTGTGTGTGTGTGTGGTGGGGGTTGGGGGGGAGGTCTCTATATTTGAGGTAATGGAAGACAGCAAGGGCATTATATAAGTCTCTGTCTTTTTTGAAGCAAATTTTACTTTTCAACTAAAAAGAATAATTAAGAGCTTGGATGATGAATTATTGAGGATGAAAGGTGCTTGTAGCCAATCCTGATGACCTACGTTCAGTCCCTGAGATCCACGTGGTAGAAGGAGAGAAAGTTCCCTCAAGAAACCAGGTTCCTCTGACCTCCACACACCTTTGCCATGGTGTATGACCCTCTACTCCCAAACACATAAACAATAATTTTTTAATTAATTAATTAATAATTAATTTTATATGAGTAAACTAGCTGTTTTCAGACACACCAGAAGAGGGCATCGGATCCCATTACAGATGGTTGTGAGCCACCATGTGGTTGCTGGGAATTGAACTCAGGACCTCTGGAAGAGCAGTTGGTGCTCTTAATACGCTGAGCCATCTGTCCAGACCCAACATTAAATTTTTTTTAAAGGGTTTCAACTTAAAAAAAATAATGGAATAAATGGTCACAGTCAACATTTTGGAAAACACAGGGAAAGGAGAAAGGAAAAACAACCCATTGGCCTTGATTTTTTGTTAAGCTTCCTGTCTGTCTGTCTGTCTGTCTGTCTATGTCTTGTTTACCTTTGCTGTTTAAAGATATAGTCTCACACTGGAGTTTACCCAGGCTGACCTGTATATAACCCATTGTGTAGCCCAGGCTAACCTCAAGCTCATAGCATTCCTCCTGAGTCTGTCCCCAAGTGTTAGGTCTGTGCCACCATCCCCCAGTTCGCCGTGCCTTTCAAAAGCATTTGCTTGTGTTTCTTTTTCCTTACACATCTCTACACTGGTGGTTATACTGCACAATCTTTTTTTTTCCCTCATCAACTAAACTGTTTTATTTCTTACAGTTATTTTTATTTTTTTAATTTTTTTTAAATGGCAAACCTTTTCGTTTTTTTTAAATTTTTATTTATTTATTATATGTAAGTACACTGTAGCTGTCGTCAGACACCCCACAAGAGGGCATCAGATATCATTACAGATGGTTGTTAGCCACCATGTGGTTGCTGGGATTTGAACTCATGACCTCTGGAAGAGCAGTCAGTGCTCTTAACCACTGAGTCATCTCACCAGCCCTACAGTTATTTATTTATTTTTTTAGGCACTCAAATGTATATTCAGACAAACCACAGACAGACAGACAGACAGACAGACAATGAAAGAAAATTAAATGACCCCCCCACACACACATACACACTTTGTTTAAACCAGCCAGGCCTGGTAGCGCATATCAAATCCAGCTACTCAAGAGCCTGAGACAAGAAGGTGGAAATGCCAGGCCCTGCATCATCTGCAGTGAGTTCAAGGTCAGTTTCAGTAACTTCCTAAGACAATGTCCTACAGTTATTTTTAAAACACGCATTCATGACTTTCTTAAATGAAAAGTTTTCAAATCTTTCCATATTCTAAGTGACATCTTCTAGCTATAGATTCTGAACAAACACTCTCAAGAACAGCAAAAGCATATCCTTGAGGGAGTATGTGCAAGCCGTGAACCTCATGGGAGCTGGGGGTGAGAAGCGGGATACCCAGGTGACTCCTGAGATCCTCTCTAGAGATCCCTCGGGTAGCAGTCCCTAGAGCCTTCCTGGATACTGAAAACTCCTCAGTCCAGCCTTGGAGGTCCTGGCTGCTAGGATTGCTGCCCTGGAACAGGTTCACCAATGAGTCTGCCTCGGGGACAGCATTCCATGGCTGCATCCAGCCAGCAGGATGACTGGAGTTGAGTTTCCCATCTTTTTAGGTTTCTTAGTACAGTTAAAGGAAGATGCCCGGGCTGAGGGAAAGGGGCTCATGCCACAGACTGGGTGCAGGTCAGAAGGATAAAGTGATGACATCATATTGCCTACTGCCTATAGCTTTCCCACAGAACATGGTAGGCCTGAGAGTTCCAGCCTCCTCATTTTCTAAGAGATGTAAAGAGAGACGTTATGAGGAAGGACTTAGAGGGATGCATTTTTCCCAAGGAGTCCAGCTGCCCTTCATCATTCACCTGTGGAGGCCTTGCAACGGAACTGTTCCCAAGGAAAGAGTACAGGGAGAGATCTATCTTTTGTTTCCTCTCTCCTGTACCAGCCCTGTGCTTGATGGTCTACACATACTTTCTCTTGTAACCCCTACATTCATGTGCTAGCTGGTTGTCTCATTCCATATAAGGAAAGACTGAGGTGCTGAGGTAAAGGGGATTTCTAAAGACACTCAGTACACACGGGATAAAGCCAGTATTCCACCCTTGGTCTGAATCCAAGGCCTTTGACCCATATATTCGATCCTTGGTGTTTGGAACATCTGACCCTCACCTCCAATTCCTGAGCCTCTTTCTGTCTCCTGACCACACCCTATCCCTTTGTCTCTAAAGAACCCTAAACCCAGCTCCGAAGAGATTTCCATGATTGCGGAGCAGTTGTCCATGGAGAAGGAGGTGGTAAGAGTCTGGTTCTGCAATCGACGACAAAAGGAGAAGAGAATCAACTGCCCCGTGGCCACCCCCGTCAAGCCACCCATCTATAACTCCCGGCTGGTAAGTGGCGCGGAGCCAGGCTGACTGTCAAACCCTTGGTGGACTTGTACCTAGAGGCTAAGAGTCTTCCATCCTAGGGAGTGGTAGCTCCTGGGTAGGGGAGAGTCTGTACATGAATAAACAAATGAATATGACATATAAAATATGCATAATACAGAGAAGATTAAACATGGTAGACAAGGCTGTTGAGATAGGGTAACCTGTAAAGGTGCTTGGTGCCCAACCTGACGATTCATTTTCCATCTCTGGGACCCCCACAGTGGAAGGAAAGAAGCAATTCCCAAAAGTTGTCCTGTTACCATTACACATGCTATTATGGCACTCACGTAACCACACACATATGTAAAATAAACAAATCATCATCTAAGTTTTATAAACATGTATAAAGGTGCACAACGTGACTGGGATATTTGCGCCTTTTTAACAGGAAGACTAGAGATAACCTGTTTGATTGGCTGGTATTTGAATGAAAAATCTAAACTTCATACAGGGATGAAATATGCAGCTCTCTAGGGGAAGGGTATTTGAGCTGGAAGGACCAGCAAGGAAGTCTATGCAAAATGGGCAAAAAGCAGGTGACTTCTGAGAAGTGGCAGGGAGCAGACTCCCCAGGGTCTTAGAATTCAATGAGAGGACCCAGGACTTCGGTTCACTGGAATATTGGAGAAGCTTAGATGCAGACATCTGTGCTGGGACATGGGCTGCTGGGTAGAAGCAAGAGACCAGCCAGGAGACAACCATCAGGCTGAGAGCAGAGGAAGCTTGGAGGGTGGTAGCCATGGTGATAAGAGTGAAGTGACTGGATGTGTATATTCCTCAGCTGTGAAGCCAATAAGACGTGCTAATGGCTCAGATCCAAAAAGCAGGACAGCAGGCAGGAAGGCGCTGCCATGTTTTTTCTAGGTGGCTTTGTTGATTTTGTTTTGTTCATTTTATGGTACAGGGTCCCATGTAGCCCAGGATAGCCTTAAATTCATTACATAGCCAACCAAGAATGACCTATATCTCCCAGGTTCATAGGTATCATAAGTGTGCACCAAGACATATGATTTCTCTCGTGCTAGGTATGGAACCCAGGACTCCCTGCATGCCAGGCAAGCACTCTTAATCAATTGAGCTACCTGAGAACTAGAATTATAGGCATGGGACACCATGCATATTATTGGCCCCACCCTTTTATAAAAAAAATTGAGCTGGACATGGTGGCACACACCTTTAATCCCAGCACTCAGGAGGTAGAGGCAGGCTGATCTCTGTGAGTTCAAGATCGGCCTGGTATATATGGCGAGTTCGTTATGATATGAGGACGTTAGACGTGTTGACTAGGCACCCAAGAGGCAGTGCCTACTTAGGATTAAGTTTTAGCCTCTGGTGTTTCAGGGAAAAGCTAAGGCTGAGTGAGACCATCTTGAGGTTCTAGGGAAACAAGGAAGTTTAGGAATTAGAAAGTGCTGGTTAGTGAGTGATATGGAGTTCTCCATCTTTGGAACAATTTTGCTAGAAGAGTCAGAAAGAATGATGTCCTCTAGTCTTCTAGCATTCCAGAGTGGCTGCAGGCTAGGTAAGACATAGCAGTGACTTAAAAACTCCCACATTGTTGATATCACCCCCAAATAGCTATGGGCCAGCTCTATGTTGGCGTTGATGTCAAGTACTGGAGAGAGAAGGATGAATACCCTTTATTTCTAGTCCAAGAGGACCTGTGTGTCTAACAAAGGGCACACACACAAGTAAACAAGAGGTAAACATCAGGGTCTCTAAGCAACTTAGGAGCAGCAGCTGACACACCTTGGGGAGGGTGGCTAGGAAGGCTCCCCCCAAGGAGGTCATTAATGCCTGAATTGAGTCTGCAAAAGACAGGTTAAGTGCGGGGTGGTGCTGTCTCCAGGGGAGGCGTGAGGACAGTGAGGTGGGGGGTTGGGGGAAGTATGCAGTGCATCCACGGAACTGCAGGTGGTTCTGTGCAGAGGAATGTCGAAAAGTGAGACTGGACTGATGGCTGGGCAGGTGATAGGAAAAAATGTCAATCATAAACAAAGGGTTCCGATAAACAAGGGTTACGGGTGTAATGTTGGCAGAGTGCTTGCCTACTACATGTGAGGCCCTGGGTTCCATCCTCAGCCCCACTGTATAATCTCAGCACTTGGGAGATGGAACAGTAGTTCAGGGTTATCTTTCGTGACTTAGAGAATACTGGACCCATTTGAGCTCCACGAGACTCTATCTCTGAAACAAACAAACAAAAACTATAAACGGGAGGCCTTGGTTAGTAAACTGAAAGCCGGCTCAGGGCAGGGAGAGTGACGGAGGGAGAATTCTTGTGATGACTCAGAGTGTTCAGGCTGGGCTGGTTGGGTAGATGCTAGCAGTATGTGTGGACCAATCAAACAGGCTCAGCTGGTTTTGGAGTGGGCAAAGGTAGTACTCCACTTCCTTGCATCATTATGATGTAGGCCTGCAGGACACCTAAGTGGAACTGTCCCTAGAGACTTGGAATGGTGGACACAGAGGTCAGGAGAGAAGCCGGGATGGAGACATGGATTGGGAGTGTCACAAGCATACCGGGTGGCAGTTGAAGTCGTAGGCGAGGAGAAGCACCATTATGGAACTTGTGTGAAGTGAAGAAAGAGAAAGGTCCTCTTCCAAACCTGGGTGACATCAGCCGACTGAAAGTAAGAACCAGAGGAGGAAGAGCCTGAGAAGTAGAACCAAGTGTGTGTGAGAGCTGGACAGGAGTCCCACAGGAGCATTATGGGAATGCAGAGAAAAGACACTCAAGTCAGCATGGCAGCCACAAGTGGGGAGCCCGTGGTTTGCTTGAAGGACGTGGTGAGTTAGCGAGAGTAGTTCTGCAGGAGGCAGAAGGAACAGCCTGTGGGAAGGTGTGCTGTTAAAGAACCTTAAGCTGGGGCTGGGGAGGTGGCTTAGAAGTTAACAGCGCTGGCTGTCTTCCAGAGGAATCCAGGTTCGATTCCCAGCACCCACATAGCAGTTTAAAACTATTCAGGGCATCTTCTACAGGTACCAGGAATTCACAGACAAACTACCCGTACACATAAATCTAAAGAAATCTTTTTGGAAAAACAAGAATTTCAACATAAAAATGGCCACGTCATGTCTGGAAGACAAAGTTCCACACCAGATATCACAAGAGGGTAGAGAATGTATTCTGATCCTGTCTTTTTTCTGTCTTTTCTTTTTAAAGATTTTATGTATGTATGTATGTGTGTATGTATGTATGTATGTATGTATGTATGTATGTATTTAAGTGCTGTATCTGCATGTATACCTGCATGGCTGAAGAGGACATCAGATTCCAGTATAGATGGTTGTGAGCGACCAGGTGGCTGCTGAGAATTGAACTCAGGACCTCTGGAAGAGCAGACAATGCTCTTAACCATTGAGCCATCTCTCCAGGTCCCATCCTCACACCTTGATGGACTAAAAACTGGTGTCTTTTGCTTTTCATACAAAGCAACCTCAAGATAGTTGAGTTAGAAGAATAAATTAATAAGGGCTGGCACTGGAAAGATGGCTCAGTGGTTAAGAGCTCGGACTGTTCTTACAGAGGGCCTGGGTTCAGTTTCCAACACCCGTTTCTGCTCCCAGCTACCTGCTGCAGGGGATCCAATGCCCTCTTCTGGCCTCCACGGGTGTTGCAGTCACATGCACATACCTCCCCTCCCCCACGAGCACATAGACACATGATTAAAAGTAAAACCTTTTTAAAAATGAACAAACCCCATTTTAGAGGGATTTGGAAGATGTATGTAGCTTAATTATGTATAACACCAGCTTAGCAAGCATAAGAACATAGCCTCTGTCACACACACACACACACACACACACACACAGACAGCATAATTGCACAGATCAGTTTGGCACCATTTTGCTACTACATGCTTTAAAAAAAAAAAAAAACAAACTTGTCTATAAAGTAAAGAACCCTCCATATGCATGTTTACAGATGCATAGCCTGTCTTTACCTGGAAATGGAAGGAGTTAATGACAGTGACTGCCTACCTTATTATCTATTTGAAAACAACCAATTTCTTGGGTGTGGCATCTGAGAGGGGAGGGGAGGAGGTGATTGATAGCATCTGTCGATGCTCTGCTGCTCCTCCCAAACTGCCCCATCCCTGCCTCTACCCCTCACAGCCCTGCCCACTGAGAACACGCATTGTAAAATGTTAGTTGAAGCCTGGAGAAGGGTCATCACTGGAGGGGCTGTTCCAGAGGAAGGGAGGACCTTAGCAGATGGCAGCTCCCTAAGTGGAGCGTCTACATCCCTGTCCTGTGAAGATGCTGCTCAGAGCTTCCTGGTCAACATGAGAAAGGTCAAAAGAGTTAAACTTCTGCGGCCCTCAGCTCAAAAGTGGAGCGAAAAGGACACCGAGAGAGAAGCAGAAGTCCATAGCCCTCTCTTCAGGGAGTAAGGGAACTAGCATTAAACAAAGCTGGTGCTCTCTGCCAGCCGCAGGGTTGGAAGCTTTATGGACATTATCTCATTAAATCTTAATTAAAAGAAATATCAGGGAGGTGCTGCCGCTGTTTCACAGATGAGAAAACCAAGCCTCCCTGGGCTTGATATCTTACTCACAGTCACACAGGCGGTGAATGGCAGAGCCAGGTCTCCCACCTCTATCTGTCTGCTCCTTATTGTTCTTGTCCTAGGCTGTTTTTGGATAATCATAGCGAGGGGCTAGGTTCCTGAACAGGGAGGTTAAACTGTGCATCTTCCATGTGAGTGTGTGTGTGTGTACATGTGTGTGAGTTGTGGGGGTGGCAGTCAATGTTGGATATCTTCCTCAATAGCTTTTCACTTGTTTTTTTGTTTGTTTGTTTTTTGGAGATAGGTTCTTTCACTGAGCCTGGTACTCCCTGGTTTGGCTACACTGGGTCCTCTTGTCCTTGTCTTTCCAGCTTGGGATGACAGGCTATGACTGTTGTACCTAGCTTTTGCATAGCTGCTGGACATCTGACCTCTGGTCCTCAGGCTTGAGAGTCAAGCACTTTAAGTCTCTACCTGCCTGTCTGCCTCTCTCCTTCTCCCCTCCCCCTCTCGCTTCTCCCTTGGACAGGGTCTTGTTATGTAGCAGGAGCTGACTTAACTCCCAGCCATCCCCTGCCTCAGTCTCCCAAGCGCCGAAAGTACAATCGGAGCAGGCAGCCGGCAGCATCTGCCAGGATAAGGATCTCACAGGCATGCTCCTCCCACCCCCGGGGGACTTGGGCAAGCCTTCAGCCTGACATTACCGGAGAAACTTTGCCAGGGGCCTCAGCAGAAGAGGGGGTGGTCTGTGTCTGTACCAGGGAGCTTCCGCTGCAGGCCGGAAGTTGGTCTCGTACGGCGTAGTCCACTGGTCTTCCTATGAAGTTCAAGGTGAAAATTTTGGGAGTAGGAGGTCATCATGAAGGCAGACTGCTCTCTGCAGCCTCTAGCCCAGTGTCCTGAGAGAAGAAACAGGATGTCACATGGACATTCACAAGCCTCTCTTGTTTTTCAGGTCTCTCCCTCAGGGTCTCTGGGCTCCCTCTCAGTCCCTCCTGTGCACAGCACCATGCCTGGAACAGGTGAGCTTTCCGATGAGGGTTCCAGACACCACAATTAATCTAAATAACGTATTAAAACTGAAAGGGCCAGGGAGTGGTAAACACCTTTAATCCCAGCCCTTGGGAGTCAGAGGCGGGTGTTCGAGGCCAGTCTGGTACACAAAGTGAGTTCCAGGACAGCCAGAGCTACCAAGAGAAACGCTGTGTCAAACGAAACAAAATAACCGAAATCACTCAACCGAAATCAGCATTCCCTCAGTGTGTCTCGCAAGACATCAAAAAACCTGTATAGAAAAGAACAGGGTTCCATGAGCTCGTAAGTTTGGAGAATGCTTGTACGCAGAGATTAAACAAGTGTTTGTTTTTTAACTTTGATCACCCTTTGGCTTAGCAAGCACTCAGGGTGTATAATGCATTCAAAAATGAGCTCTACCGAAAGCCGGAGGAAGATGGGTTTTTAAACATGTTTCCAGGGGTCTATTTTTCCATGAGCACCTGTAGTGTTTCAAAGAGCTTGGTAAGATGGCCATATGTCCAGCTGTTCTCTAGAATCGCTAATAGCTCCTCCAATGGTGGGGGTAAATCGCAGTATGTCCTTTTTTATTTTTAATCTTAGTTTGAATAGTAAAATATATGGCACTCTGTTCATGAAACACATGTTGGGGTTCTCAACTCAAGGAATATCTACTTAGTCCAAAGCCAGCATTTTACAGAGGATAAAAATGAGTGTTGGGGTGGGCCAGGGCAGGCCCAGAGGAGGTTAGGTCCCCTTAAAGGGGACCACGTGTGTTTTCTTTGTGGAGTTGGAGAATGTGAGGTTTTGACCGGTCCCTCTGCTCTCAGGTTTGCTTCCTCCCGTACCTCTTCCTTTCTGTAGCCTCATATTCTCTTCTCTTCCCGCCCAGGGTGTGTCCCACAGTAGGATAATTTTTGGCATCTGTCCTCTGCATTTGGCAAGTCTTGGACTGCCAGAACCAGCCACGCTACTCTGAGGGCCTGGGTTGCAGAGAGCACTTGAAATGAGGGCTCCACCAAGGATGGGCTCATGGGTGGGCCTTGCTATTGACGTGGTGGGAGGTGGGTAGATGGGTGGGGGTAGGGTGCCCTTTGGAGATTCCATCAGGAAACTGTGTGTTGGAAGGGCTGTGTCACGAAGGTCCCCAGACCCAGCAGCATTATTTTGGCTTTGTTTTTGTGTCTCTTTGTCCTTAGTGACGTCGTCCTGTTCCCCTGGGAACAACAGCAGGCCTTCGTCTCCTGGCTCAGGACTCCATGCCAGCAGCCCCACAGCATCTCAAAATAACTCCAAAGCAGCAGTGAACTCCTCCTCCTCCGGCTTTAACTCCTCAGGGTAAGTAGAGGGCAGTGAGGAGGCATCAGGCAGGCTGGGGGTGGGGGGATGTGAAGAACTGGACTCATGCCATAGGCGAGAACTGGAAACAGAAAGTTGGGGTAGCAGTAGGGATGGATGGAGGAGGGAGATTGGACTACATCCCCCAGGGATGGGGGATTTAAAAAAAGAAGCTGTAGCCAGTGAGCTGTCCTGGCCAGGGGCTGATGTCAACAAAGCCAAAATTTCCATCCTCACTTTGATGGTGGAAATTTCCAAACGCTCACGTGAGAGGTGATCAGGTCCTCTGCTCGGCTCAGGAGCCCTCCATACCAGGAACTCCAGTCCCAGGACGTTCTGACCCGAGTCTGGAATTCAGGCGTTGACCAATTCTGGCCTTCAGGTGTGGCTGGTACAGGGAGACAAAAAAGTACTGCCGGGCCTTGTCTGCCAGTTAGACCTGGGCGTCTGCAGGTATAACGGGCCTTAGCTCCCAAGGTGAATAAACTACTGGAAAAGTGTCCTTAGAAGGGATGCCAGGAGAACTTGCCCAGGTGCAGAAGAGGACAGAGGTGTGGAGGCTGGGCAGACAGTCTAGTTGGTAACATGCAAGCACAAAGACTGAGTCTGAACTCCAGAGCTACATCCAGGTGTGGCAGTGTACTTATAATCCCAGTGCTGGAATAGGAGTGAGGAGGCCTTTGAGTTCCTGGCCGCTGAGAGAGCCTATCTCAAATAATGTGGGTGCCATTCCTAAAGATGACACCCAAGGTTGTCCTCTGGCCACACAGATTATCTTAAGGTTCTTTGCTTCGAAGAGACCAAGGCAGGTCTTACAAAGGAAAACGTTTTACTGGAGCTGGCTTACAGTTCAGAGGTTTGGTTCGTTATCATCTTAGTGGGAAGCATGGCAGCATCCAGGCAGACATGGTGCTGGAGAAGGAGTTGAGAGTTCTACATCTTAACCCAAGGCAGCAAAAGGAGACTGTGTGCCACACTGGGCAGAGCTTGAGCATATATGAGACCTCAAAGCCCACTCCTACAGTGACACACTTCCTCCAACAAGGCCACACCCACTCCAACAAGGCCACACCTACTCCAACAAGGCTAAACCTCCTAATAGTGCCACTCCCTATGGGCTAAGCATTTAAATACATGAGTCTATGGGGAGCCAAACCTAGTCCAACCACCACACAGATGTACACACATACATTTTTTTCTTACAAAAAGAAATTTGGTCATGATGGTACCCACTTGTAATCCCAGCATACAGGAAGCTGAGGCAGGAGGACCTTGAGTTTGGAGGTGGCCTGTTTTAAACATAATGAGACCTTGTCTTTTTTCTTTTGTTTTTTTTTTTTTGTTGTTGTTGTTGTTTTCTGAGACAGGGTTTCTCTCTGTTGCCCTGGCTGTCCTGAAACTCGATCTGTAGACCAGGCTGGCCTTAACTCAGAGATCTGCCTGCCTCTGCCTCCCAAGTGTTGAGATTCAAGGCATGTGCTACCATTGCCAGGCAAGAGACTCTCTCTTAAACACACAAACAAACCAAGTTGGGTGACAGATTATCCACTTGCAATGAACCCACTTGCCCAAATCCGGTTAGTTCAGCAAGGCATCTAGCTTCTATCATCTAGATATTTTATAGCCTAGCGAGTCAAAATTCCTGGGGGTGAGGAGACCCGAATAATTCTAATAGTTTAATATTGAAAATATGATTCATAGACCATAAAGTTGAGACGGTTGTGCAGCCATTACTGTTTTCCAGAATGTTTCCCTCACCCCTTAAGGATCCCCTTGCTTGCCTGTTTAGCACTCATCTCTCCCTACCTTGTCCTTCCTGTCAGGTTTGTAACTCAGAGTCTGGCCTTTTTTCCTCTTCCTTCCAGATCATGGTACCGTTGGAATCATCCCACCTACCTCCACTGAGACCAAAAATGTCCTCCCGTTCCACCTGGCCCCTGATTCCTGCCAGGAGGAAGAGAGTCACGCCTTCCACATATGGACAGATACTTTGAGAAGAGTGGGAGAAACGGCTGCTGCTGAAGGGCAAACCCACGATCTTGCCTTCTCTTGGATCCAGAGCCTCCAGAGCACCAAACTGTGACCAAAGGCCACGCTCTTGCCTTGGGCTCTCGATCACCCCCTGGGAGTTTACTGTGCTCGCCTGCCTTGCCGTGGCCCCCTCTGTGCTCTCCTGATGCCTTCACCATTTGGAGAAAGGGCATTCTGCCATTGTTAGTTTTCAGCTCACCCGTGGGCTTCTGGGATAGCCTTTTGCTCGGTGTGCCAAACTGCAAGGAGGGTAGGTTATGGCTTTGACTCTGACCTCAGCCACAGTCCTGAACCGATCCCAGATTCTATGGAAAGACTGAAATCTCACGTCTCCACCAAAGCCTTATCTTGTTAAAAATTAGCACAGTTTCCCCATGGAATCTCCATTTTTGCCCAATTTTCTTTCAGCCCTTACTCCCTTTTCTATAACCAAATGTGTCTATTCTTGGCTCCTACTAAGTCCCCGTCCTCTTTACAAATGGCTCAGCTCCCCTCTGGCCAGGCTGCTCCATCCGAGGGTACTCTTCTGTTACCCACATGTACCCAAGTTCAAGGACGCGTGTGTTTTCTCTGTTCCCTGTGGGTCTCCTCGTCCTGTCCCCTCTCCCTCCTCCTGGCCCCAGAAGAGTGATGGCCATGTTCTTGTACATAGTCCTTTCTTGTTCTGCACTGTGACCTTTCTTCTTCAATGTGGAATTTTCCAGCAAAATGTTTAACTCAGGTGTGAATTTTGAAGATGTCTCTATGTTATTTTATCTTCTGTTAGGAAACGGGGAGGGCTACCAAGCTACCAAACTGTGGAACGCCCCACAGAGTTCCCACGTGAGCTGGGGTTCTGCTGACTTTGGGGACAATGTTATAGTGGAGTCTCCTTCTGTGGGTCTGTGTGTCACATGAAAGCCATCCCAGAAATGGTACCCTTTTTTTTTTTTCTAAAGACTGAATATCCAGGAAACTGTTGAGACTCAATGGAATCTCTCTGTTTCTAAATATATTTGTACAGCAATGACATAAACTATTCCACTGTTAATAAGACATATTCAGAGGAGTGTTTTGTGCCTTTGTGTTTGGGGGGTGGGGGGGGATGTCTATGGGATGTGAAGTGGGTTCTGGGGATGCCCCCAAACAACTCAAATTCCTACCCTGTGGGACAAACCTGCTTTGGGAGCCAAGGAGGTGAAAGATTGTTCCTCATTTTATAAGAAGTATGGTGACTATGTCAGGTCATGTCACTTGAAGATGCCAAGGCTAATCTATCTCACATATCCTAAATATTGACTATTCGGCTGTTGTGATTTACAATGAAAGCAAAAGCTGCTTAACACAGAGACTAATTTCCTGACTGTGTATATCAGCTTGAGAAGTTGACCTCCATGTAGCTAGACGGTTGAAGGGTAGGAAGGTTATTGTTGAGCTTTTTGCTAGGTTAGTTTTTGTTGGTGGTAGGATTTTATGTTGTTGTGTGTGTTTGTTTGTTTTTTTGTTTTTTCGAGGTAGGGTCTCACTCTGTAGCCCA